TATGCTGAAGAATGTTAAAGAAGAGTTGCACAAACGGAGGCGTCGTATTTTCTCTGAAGTAACTGCCTTTATTGGAAAGCACGATCATTCCAGCAAACTACTCAGCGGTGACCTGGAACATATTGCCAACTGCGAGAAGCACGAGCTTGACATGCTAGATGAAATTCTCAAGGATGCAAATGCACACGATGGACAGATTGCCACTCTAAAAGTGCAGTTGCAAATGATCCATAAGCAAATAACAGAGGCCTGGCTTCCTATTGAAAGTTCTTTGAAACAATGTGCAGAGTTGCTGAGGTTCATAGAGGCCGATAAGCTTGGTCGGTCGTGGGATGACCGCGTAATCGACCCCTTTTTGAGCTGCGCGACCTGCATTGCTCCACATATCGGCACTCGTTTCGCATCACTACGGTTTAAAGATCACACACTAGCACAAAAGCAGTTTTATGCTGTTTTAAACTTTGTCGATAATATTGTTCCGTGCTTTTCATGTGGCTGGCCGCTACCTGTCCGTGGGCTTTTCTCTGTGCTTATTTTACATGGCACATTGTTCGCAAGCAGCAGTATTAGCTCGTATTTGAGAACTACATTCCCCACCCTTGAGATTCTTAAACCAGAACAATTCAATGCTTTGTTATCTATTGTTGGAAAGGATAGCAAATATAGTATCATTGATTTCTCTTCACCGTCCTCACCTTGCCTAAAACATGGGATAAATGCCGACAAAACGGATACTGAGACTATTAATAAGTTGATTTCGCAGGCATATTTGGATTCAGGGGACACACTGCTGAAACGAATCTGTTCCAAGAGTATAGATGCCATCGAGGATAGCACGAGCTCAACCGAATCTGCTTTTTCATCTCTTGTGACTCATTTTTTCCAATTTCTCCAAAATCTTGATTTTCCGCGTTGTGAGGATATTGCGCTCCGTCTATACACCGGTGCACTTGAGGCGCTCAAAAGTGGTGACACAAAATCTGCTGCACTTCGTAGACAGCCAAGCAGTCATAAACTGACAGAAATAACACATTTGATTGACCAAGAGATGTTAATGTCCAGCAACAACAACTTGCTAGTAGATTGCGCCAGTTTTAACTCTAGTTTTTCTCATTCGCAGCCTTCGATGGGTAGCTGCAATTATCCCCTTCTCAGTGTTCACTCGCGAGAACAACTCTGGGAGTACAATGAGAAGCACTACATGCCATTGTATATGGTAAGTCGCAACCCCTATGCAACGTTATACGCTATTCAGCATGAAGCGGTGTCTGGAAACTGGTTGTATGAACAGCATGAAGTAGTGTGCCTTAGTATGGAAACTAATATGCTGGCAATACGCATTGTGAACTGCTTGCTTAAATCCCATATGACGGATAACTTCAAGGGCTTTTGGTTCGGTCTTTTGGTCGACCTATCGTCGCCCCAAGCAAAGAAAGCAATTAGCGAAACGATAAATTATGGGAAGTGTCTTGTTGAAAGTGTCCATAAGATTCTTGCAACTTACATCGGCTGGGGTTTACTAGTATCAGGAGGTAATGAGAACTTCTTAAATAGAGTTTCGATGAGGTTTGTGTTGGTGTGCACCCCCGGATCCCATCGCCTATTATGGAAGGATACATATGAGTTGCGACCAGGGCGTTGTTTGTATATTTGTGACGAATACACCTCGCCTCAGCGGCATTTGTTACATCTTCTGCAAGATAGAATGATTCAAGACATGCTGGCACAACGAGGTGACCAGGCCTCAGCGAGACCCTTGTCATCTGATTCTCCGCATCAACCGCAAGAAAGGTCCGCCACGTCGCTAAACTCAAGCGCAATGTTAACTGTACAGGGGACTGGTACAGGAGTTCTTTTCACCGATAGGAAAACGGGTGGGAGATTGCACAGAGGAGCCCAGAACA